CCCGTTATTAAGTATTTCAAACAAGCATATTTTTTATATGTATGACATATGAAAATATCAAATTAATTATAAGCGTTTCCTGAATGTGTCTAGATTGTTGTGTAAAATGCCGTTTTTTTTTTTTAAATTAAGCTTCCCTATAGCCTTGAAACGCACTGTACCCCAGTACCGCGGCACTTAGGCAGCTGTAAGCGTTAATGCTTTTTAATTGTTTTCTGTGTGTAAGTGTGTTTTTTTTTTTTGTTTGTTTATTTTTAGATATTTTTGCGCCAGCTAACTAGTTTTACACGTTGTCATGTTTGTTGGTTGCTTGGCCAAGTCTAAAGTTTGTAGTTCAAGTTGATTTTTTATGTGTGCTTGTAGGCCTTTTGAAAGCTTTCTGACCTTCCCTCTCTATATTGCCAGTCGTCTACTCTCTTGCCCAATTGAAAGGCGGCTAAGTGATTTGACTTTGGCTCAGCAATGACTTTGTTAACTACTTCTGGGCCAGCCAAAAGTTTTCACAATTACTCAAAAGCAGGGAGACTTAAGGCGGGACTACTTGAATTCAAAACGCCAAAGCGAATTCCCACTATAATTAGGAATTAGAAATCAATGACAAATCGTTTTTGACATCATCTCGACCGCTGACTCAGCGCTATTCGGCTAAAATCTACTAACTAAGCATGGGCGAGAAATAATACGAAAAATACGAAATTCCCATTCGGTAAGCTTAATTATTTTTTTAGTTTAGTAAGCTGTTTTTGGGGCTTGGCATTTGCATATTTCCGCGCACGATAATCGTATATATTTATTTTTTGACTCATAATCTTCCGCACACAGAGTGAAGTGGAGAGAGTGAGGTCAATTAAGTGCCATTAATTTGCCTTTTTAATTAATAATTTATTTTTTAATTTATTTAAAGCCGCTGCTTAAATCCCGCTGTCTATCTGATTTCGCGCTGCGCATTCATGCATATAAATTATGCTAATTAGTTACAGCTACCGCCCGACAATTTAATACATATATTTGCATTCGTTTTTATCTGATCTGTTATATTTTTTAATTAAAGCTTATTAAAACTGTCGCTCACAGACCTCTCTCCTCGCGACTTATCGTTTGGCATAAATGTATATTTACTTTTATACTTAATTTATGACTTTAGCTATCACCGAGTACAACCGGCGAAGAGGGGCTGGGAAACTGGCATAATAATTACCGAAGGCCTAGAAAATATTTAAATGGTTTTTCAGTATTTTTTCTCTCCTCTTTCTCTTTCTCTTTCTGTTTTTATTTTTATTTTTTTTTTTTTCTTTTTTTGTCCGCTAAAAATGTTTTAATTATGTCAGAAATGATGTAGCGCGCTTGGCAGCAGATTGAAGTTGACCCAAAAAAAAACCGAGCAAAACGAAGAGGCTGAGAAAAAAATAAGCGATGACGACAAAACCGGTTGCCTATGCCTGAAATTGGAGTCCGGGGTCTCCGAAGTATCTGTATCTGTAACTGATGTCTGTAGTCTGAAGTCTGGGAGTGGAGTCTCCTCCGACTCGTAAATATCAGCTTTATGACCAGCCTCAATGCGAGTGTCCTCCGCTTTTTGCTTTTGTGGCTGCCACTTAGCCCCCTGCCACGCCCACCAGCCGCCCCCGCAGACAATGTTTGGTTAGACAGCTTCCGACGCTGTGTTTTTTTTTTTTCTGCCCCGTATTTTTGTATTTTATTTTTTGGCGCTTGACAACTGCCGACGCCGTTTCCACTTGGTTTTGGTTTTGGTTTTGTGTTACTCTTTTTACCCCCAGCGCGGACTATGTTTAATGCGCTTTGCGTCATTTCATTTTGAACAGTTTTCGTTACTTTTGTGTGAGCACTCCCGACTTGAATTTAAAAATAGCCAACTCTTGCATCTGGGTGTTTCTGTTTTTATATGCCTTTTATTTGCAAATTTTTCCTCTGCCGTTTCGGTTTTTGTTTTACTTGTTTTACTTTTTGTTTGCTTTGCTCGACCATTATTGGCTTTATTTATCTGTTGATGACTTTTAAATGGCAGCTGTTCTGCACTCGTCTCCACGTCTAAATAAAATCAATTAGAGGAGAAAACCTTTTAGTTGACCTATCCCGCCCTAAAAGGCCTGCATTCAGTCGGACTAAAGCGATTAATCGAATATAGATGTTGGAACTCGCATTTGACAGCGACGAATCAATTTAAGGTGAATTTAAATGAAATGACTTTCTATTAGAATTTATTAAAAACAAGAAGAAATAATGCGGGTAAGCAGACAGAATAATGTTAAATACTTCCACTCTTTTCAACAAGTTTTTAAAAGTTAAATAGTTACTACACCCAATAGAAACATTTTCTTTGACACTAAACTATTGTTACATGAATTTTAAACTATTGGGTATGAAAAATATTTTCATAAAGTAAGTATTAAATTAATACCAAGAGAGTAGCAAAAGAAAATTTACAGTATTATAAATGAAACTAAATAATAAAGGGTTATTTTATTTAGTATTGAATTAATTCTTATACTTTACTTTTCAAGACTCACTTATTAAAATTAAACTTTCATTTTTTTGGGTGCATTTCTGAAATTAATAGGTATATGACGAAACACCTTACTAATTAAACAGACTGATTAGAAGAAAATTTAGAAATTGAAAACAAAAATGTATATTTACTTTATTAGCCCCTGATTACCCAAGACAAAGCGATAAATGGTTTATAAAATTAATACTGCCCCATCCTTAAAAATGAGTAAATCCCAAAAAAAATCAAACTAACCACTTGATCACTGAGCTCATTTTCAGAAAAATGCCGAATAAGCGCAAGCACTTAAGTACGGCACTCGAGCGACTGGACACTATCTGCGATGCCACACATGGAACAGTAATCAAGTCAGATGTGAATGCGAATATGCCAGGGCGAATCCAAAGTGCAGCACCAGTCCGGCTTACTAATGCCAGACGAGATGATATGGGACGAAACGAGATGAGACGAGACGAGCTGAGACGAGTGGCACCTGCCCATTGGGGAGGGGGGCAACGGGGCGGATGAGTGACGACAATGGCGATGACCTCGCACTCGAAAGCGGGGGGGGAGGGGAGGTGGGGCGATTGGATCAGAGGGGCAACCACTCACCCAGCCAGTCGCATGCAAATGGCCCAGCAGCTGATAGTTGATTGCCCAAACGAAATGAAAACAAACAACCGACGCTGCTGTCAGCTGGAGAAGCGATCTGTAGTAGTATATTTTAATTACACTTGTGTGAATGCCGCCGGCGGCAATTGAAATATTTTTTCCGTCTCTAATCTACGACCAATTTAATATAAATTAAATAAATGAATAGATGGCCATCGTATTTGTGTCTTCAAGCTCGGGATAATGGGGAGGGCCACCATTCAGGAAACGAGCGTTGCCTTGTTTAGATTTGGCATTTAAACGAGATTACTTTCTATGGCAAGTGTTGTTGGATAGGCTTTATGCCGAACAGAGCTGGATTTTTAACAAACAAAACGATAAGAAATTCTGGGCGGATACTGTAAATCGGATACTATAACTGTTCAAAAATCAATTCCGGTACGTAGATTACTTCCAAGAACTTCAACGTCGAGTTCTCATAAATTTTGATTTCAAAATAGTTTTCTGTCATTAATAAGTTACTTTAAAATTTAAAATTAAGAAAAAAAATTGTATTTCCAAATAAGAGAAAATGTTTGGCTATTTCCCAAGACGTCAACACTGCTTTCTACCAGTTCCTGCTACGGTTTCGTTGTGCTCCAATTGGGTCTGTCGTCTTTCCTTGTTGAACCATAAGTGGATTCAAGTCAACTTGGACGAAGAGCCGGACTTGTTTGGATTTAGGGCAGTCCAAAGCGTTTGGGTTCGTGTCGGATGAGTCAGTTTTTGGTCGCCAACTGCGGATGTCGTTCGTTTCGGTTCGGTTGAAAACTCTTTTTTCGGTTTAATTAATTCGCTGATTGCCGCACTGAATCCTCAGTGGACTCGCCTTGCCTATGCATAAATTAATCAGTTATTTACTTCCTGGAACCGAGCAACTCCCAGGGAGACGTCTCCAAGCGATTCGGCGGGCGATCGGGCAATCTCGGGCAATCAATAATGGAAAGTACACATTTTCCCGAGGGACCTTGGGCCGAGCTAAAACAATTTCAAGCGATAACATCTCGCATTTCCTGCCAGCTTTGAACATTAGATTTTTCTGTGTGTTTCGTTTGCCAGCAAAGGCATAATGGAGTGGAGTCGTAAACACTGGTTTGTGAGGGGAAACCGGAGAACTATAGCCGTAGAAAAAAAGCAAATGAATTATACCGTTTGAATGAATGAACTTGGGGCACGGTGGTCGCTGCAAAATGAGTACAGTAAAGCCTAGAACGGGGTGTCTGGAGATTAACTAACCGAGAAACCTGCTTAAATTTAACTCTGTGCCTCATGAAATTAAAACAGAAACTTGTGCAGCCATCTAAATAGCTGTTATACATTCTTAATTGCGGTAAAGCTCCAGTAACGAAATAAAACTCGTATTAGAACAAGCCCAGTTTCTAATTAAATTTGTAATACACCATAATTTGTTTTGGAGATAATGGCTTTCAGCTATAAAATAGTTTGAAATGCATCTCCCGTAATTAGTAGCCTTAAAAGGGACCTAAGCAATTTGTTCGAAATTCGTTTCAGTTCAAGGGTTTCCAATTAGCGAGGGACCTCTGTGCGGCAACATTGCCACAACCCCGAGCCATGTCTTCCATCAATGACAATAATCAATCACAGCTCACCGCAGATGGAAGAAAAAAAAAAAAACAAACCAAAAGCCGGAGCCAAATGAGCAAAATGGGCAAAGCGAAGCTGAAAATCAAATTAAGGCGAACAAAAAGAGGAGCCGAAGACGGGAAGCGTGAAAAGTTGGCCACAAAAGCCGACGGCAAGAGGAACTTTTCTTCGCCGCAGCCAAATCACTTGCACTATGCTTTTCTCTCGCTCTCTAGCTTCAATTGAAAACACAATTTACTTAATTTTTTGCATATCTCGCTTCAAATTACGTTGCATAATTTTGAATAATTTTTATTCGTATTTTTTGTGTTGATTTCTTTTTTTCTGCTTTACTCTCCTTCTTCGTTCGGTAATAATTTTTGCTTTTCATATTTTCATATTCTTTCGGTAAATGGTTTGTTATAACATTTTTGTTGATTTTTAATTAAATATGCGTATGTGTAGTTTTTAGCAATTGTTGTTTGGTTGGATGTTGTTGCCGTTGCTGTTGTTCTCTTTTTCTTGTTATTATTGATGTTGTTGGTTTACACAGAGCGGTTGTTGTTGTTGTTGTTTGTTGTTGTTTGTTGTTTCTTGTTGGTTGTTTAATTTAAATTAAATTAATTACTAAAATTATTTTATAACAAATATCACTACAATAGTTTGCATTTTTTTGTTGTTTGTTTTTGTATCGTTTATCAATTACTACCATTACTAAAAAAAGAAAAAAAGATCGCTCGATTCCTCTTTTCTCACCGTCGGACAACAATTTTTCATAGCAGCTAAACAGAATTGAATTTCATCTCATAATATTTTGTAGAGTTAATTACTTTTGATTCTAAAAGCTTTGAGGGGGTGTGTATATATATATAGTACTATTTAAGGGGGAGGATCTATTGGTTATTCCTTGAGGCGGCTATTTCATCGACGCGTACTTGGTAGGCGCCTGTCTCATGTGTTGCAAGTTGCATGTTGCTTCTGATGCTGTTGCTGTTGCTACTGCTCCTGCTGCTGCTGTTGCTGCTGTTGCCGTTGTCCTTGCTGCTGCATCACACATTATAGCAGGAGATCTGCGGCAGGTGCTGGAATGTGGGCGTGGCCGCCGAACTGAACGGCACAAAGGACGTCTGTCCAGCGGCTGCTGCGGCGGCGGCCAAGTTGAGCGAGGCGGCCGCCGCATACGGGTGCATCCGCTGGGACCGCAAGTACTGCCGGTACTTGCCGCTCAGCTTGTCCGTGGCCGTTGTCACCGCCCCCGACGCCCCCGTGCCGCCGACCGCTCCGCCCCCACCGCCGCCGCCCACCGACGCCGAACCGCCCGTGGCCGCTCCGGAGGTGGGCGTGGCCGAGTAGAGGCGCATGGGATTGGTGTCAGGGCCGGCCTGATAATTGCTAGGAACTGTGGCCATCGGTGCGCGGTCCATCAGCATGGACGTCGCGTCCCAGGGCGGCGGAGGCAGGCAGTGTTGCTGTTGCTGGTGCTGCTGCTGCTGCACCTGCGACTGTTGCTGTTGCTGCTGTTGCTGCAGCTTCCCCGAGGCGACCGCCGTCTGTCCGTAGTTGCTGCCGGAGATCATGGCGTCCCGCTTGCCGCTCGCTGTCCCAGCGCCACTGCCCTTGGCCGCGTAGTGGCCATGGGGGTGCAGCATGTGGTGGGGCGTGAGGGCGGTGCGGGCGGCCAGCGCCGCGGCCAGCTGATCCCACTGACCGGCGGCCGCGGCGGCTATCGAGGCCTGGGCCTGGGCCTGTACCGCCGCCGCTGCTGCCGCTGAGTTGGCTGCATGGCTCTGACTTTGGCTTTGACGTTGGCTTTGGTTGCTGCTGGCACGTTGCTGCTGCTGCTGCTGCTGATGTTGTCGGCGCACATGCTCCAGACTAGACTGTTGCTGGGAGCACAGTCCTGCAAGAAAAAAAATTAAAATTTATTAAGACAAAAAAACCAATGTGTATTTGTAAAGTGTAACCCTGTTAAACATGGTTTGTAATTGATAAACATTAAAATAAACACTAGCAAGGTCGTGGGCGTTACTTGCTGAGATCTAGTTTACAAATTCTATAGCTGCTTATATATGTATGTCATTGATTAAATCGAATTTATTTAAAACTTTTTTAACGCTCTCTATTTATTTTCTATAACCTGTAGGAACAAACTGATAAATCGAGTCAGAACTGATGACCTATAATTCTAAATGGCAACTATTTCTTTCCATTGTAATCTGGAATTTGTGCATACTCTGAGGGAACAAAACCGACTTAAAAGCAAGAATAAGTTCTTGATTTTGTCTATGATTGGATGTTTTAATATTAGAAGCTGCTTCTTAAAATTAAAATTTTTGTAGAAAAAGAAGAAAATGCATTTGAATTATAAATATTGCCCTAGGTATTGTTTAGGATTCAAGCCCACTCATTGACATGCCGCATAAACTCGGATTTTCCCAGCATCTCTAATGAACTTCCAAAATATCCATTTTTAAACGATTTAAATTGTTCTTAAATAAATAAACATTTGTGGTTTAATTCAAGACAATTCTGTATTGATTGAGGACAAATCGATCTTGAGTCTTTTATTGTTTAGCAAATTGTTTTCATTGACTTCAAAGGTTCGCTGTGACTTTTGACTTTACCAATTTAAACTTAAAGTATTTGACCTATAAAACCTTAAAAAAACTGACTTATAGTAACCTGATAAAAAGTGGAGTATCCAAAAGTTAATTTTATCAAATATAAATACAATTCAAGCTTTCAAAGCATTTACAACATGTATTGACGGAATTAACCTCAGTTTTACAATTTTGTAAGCCCATTATTGCATCTAATTTGTTGTGTTACAAAAGGTAAGAAAATGTATCAATATGTACTGTTTTTTATTAATATTTATTTAGACACTTTATCATTGCGCGAAAACTGAAGTTACTTAATCAATCAATTTTTTTACACTAGGAACTATTCTGGCAGACGACAGAATATGAATATGACATGAATATGTAACCGAATAATTCAAAATATATCAAAATATTAAATATTATGACTTATTTAGAATAAAAAATATGTTAACATGCTGTTCTATGTTGAAAAAGTAAGCGCAGTGAACAGTTTTCTTGTGAGTTTGTCAATTTAGTCGATATAATTACGACTTCGCTTCTAATAATTAGTATTTTGCCATATTTGGGGATGGTTTGAAAGACAGTAGTTAATATTAATGGTTGGTCCTAGTTTAAACAGATAATTCAACTTATTAAAAAACCGCTGTCAAATCTAAACGCTTCGATAGTTTTCTTAAACCAAAATAATAAAATTTTAATGTTCTCAATATCTTTCTCCCTTTTTTTGTTCCACCTAAAACGTAAACAATAGGTATTTGTGTATTTATGAACAAGTTATTAGTGAAGTTGTTTTGAATCATTTGACAACATAATATTCACAAATTTCTTTAAATAATTTCTTTTTGCGTGTAAAGCGGACTGGTATAGATTGGCGAACCGACGGAATTTAACTTGCCTGTTAATATTTAATGTTCAAAGTTTATGGATAAACATTGTACTTATTTACACATACACTTTTTGTTTAGCTGTAAGAGAACATATGTTCTTTGTTTTTATTTCTAAAAGACAAATAACAAAATCAGTGAAAACTGCAATAAAGCTCTTAATTAAAGCAATTATTTAACCGAAGGTCTGCAATATGCTGCGTGGTTAAAGAATTTTGTACATTTAAAGGCGTAAGGAGTTGGTTTTTAATCATTAATATAAACCACGTTATCAATTTTTGATTTTTTTGAGATTATGCTGGCAAATTGCGTTTGAGCTGTGCTCAAAATTTAACTATTAGAAATATGAAGAACAAAATTGGGACAATTTGGATGTAGCTAATGGAACAATTGATGCTTTAAAAAGATGTTTAGTGAAGTCTAAGCGCTCAAAAGCCTTTTTCTAATAATTAGATCAATCTATCTTAACAATAATGGTGAGTTCTTGAACCCATTTGCTTTCATTTAAAAATCTGAAGTAAGAACCATTAAATTCTTTCTATTGTCCGAGATTCAGATATTAACAAACATAAACTTACCGATTTGCTGTTCCAGACTAGACCGTTGCTGCGGATAGTGGGCTTGCTGCGACATCTGCGACATTTGCTGGTGCTGCTGCCGCAGTTGTTGCTGCTGTTGCTGGTAGCGCTGTTGCTGTTGCTGCTGCTGCTGTTGCTGCTGCTGCTGCTGCTGCTGGGCGGTTGAGGCCACCCGAGCGCCCCCGCCGGGCGGCACTGCTGCTGGGAGCCGTGGCCACAGCCGTACCGCTTCCGCCGCCGCCCAGGGCCGCCCCACTGCTCAGCGAACTGCTGCTGACCGCCCTCGCCGTCGCGTGCATGTTGTTCACGAACGGACTGCGCCGCTGCGACTCCATCTTGCGGAAGTAGCACGGGTGGATCATCAACAGCGGCTCCACCCGCTGTCCCGCCGGAGGCTTGGGCTGGTTGGGCAGCTCATACTCCACGCTGCAGTCCACGTGCAACGGGATGCTGTAGTCCTTTTGTGGCGAGGGAGCGGGCGCTGTGTTGCTGTTGTTGCTGCTGCTGGGCGTCTGTTGTTGCTGCTGCTGCTGCTGCTGCTGTTGTTGCTGCTGCTGCTGCTGTTGTTGTCTGCTGTTGGCAACGTGGTACATGTGTTGCTGCTGCTGCTGCTGCTGGTGATGATGTTGCTGCTGCTGCGTCTGGCTGTGCTGCTGCTGCGCCTGGCTGTGTTGCTGTTGCGCCTGGCTGTGTTGCTGCTGCAGGGCAGACAGGGCCGACATGCCGTGCGACAGGGACGACATGTCGTAGTTGGCATAACAGGCGGCCATCGTCATCGCTGTTTTATTTTTTATTGGCTCCTTTTAGCTTTTGCTCTCGTTTCTATAACACAGAATTCGCTTTTGGTTGCTTATTTATTTTGTTTCAGATTTTTAGCATTTTGCGGGCGTTATTTTCGCTTTCTTCACTTTCGAAAAAATTCACTTTTTGTGGTTTTTATTGGCACTGGTAATCCAAAAAGAGCGGCTAACGGTAAATTGCCGCTGCAGGTAATCCGTGAGTGTGTGAGTGTGTGTTGGTTATTTCTTTTTCGTTTTGTTGGTTTTTTTTTTTTTTTTGTTTCGAGATAGGAGGAACCTTAATCCATATGTGTTTGCTTTGCTTTGGAATTCGCTTTAACCCGTATAATATTTAGCTGCTGTTCGCGTGTTTAACTTTGTTTCGTTACGTTTATTGTATATATTTATTAGCGTTTTAATCAGTCTTTGTTTGGTTTTACATAAATGCAGCGAACAGTTGGGGCTGCTGGGTGAGTGTGGGTGAGTGGTTTTGAGGGTGTGAGTGAACAATCCACGTGTGTTTTTCAGTCTTTTTGCCCGTTTTCGCTGGCCTAACTTAACCGTTGCTTTCCTCCTCTCGCTTCTCTTTTTTCATTCGGTTCTGTTCTGTTCTCGCGGGAGTGAGTGGTTCGCGGAGTAGGAAACTTGTAGTTCTATGCAATGCAACAGAACTGCCGAACGCACGAACTGAACGCTCCGAAGAAAAACACGATCTGAATCGGGAACGAGAAACTATAAGGCTATGCTGCCTGTTTTTTCTCTGCCCAGCCTCTGCCGGCGTCTTGTGAGCGCAGTTGAGAGAGAGCGCGTTTGCTGAATACGGAGAGCGGAATAGCGCGCGCGAGAGCGGGAGCGGGAGCGGCAGAGCACACAGAAAACAGCTGTTGGCCAGACGCCTGTGTTTAGGCTTTGTTTTAGTTTTTTGTCTGGGACGAATCGCTCACTTTAGTATCACAATTTGCCAGTTGTTTTTGGTTTTTCAACTGCTTATTCACTTTTCACGCGGCACACACTTTTATTAATTCCCTTTTTATTTTTCTGGAGTAATATCTGTTGTGGGCGCACTCTATTTCTGATTCGTGTCCGCTCGACTCGGGCTCTTTGAAGCGAATGAACTGGCTGAAGAGGAAAATGACGAGTTGGCCTCCAAGCCCGCAGTCGCTGCGCTGCCGCCCTTCTGCCGACGCCTACCTGCTGTTCGGCACAGCTGATGTTCCGTGACGTATTCAGCACGCACACACTCTCAGACCGCGAGCGTAAGAGCCAATTGCATTCAATGGCAGCATATGGCCGCTCTCTCGGTGTGGCTTTGTGTGAAGTGTGTGTGCGGTACACATTCAGCCATGTTACTACACGGCGGCCATCTTTACAACTGTTTGGGCGAGACAGAGAGCACGAGAGAGTTAGCGAGAGCGAGAGACACTGAGCGCGCATTATTTTGTAATACTTTTTTTGCCCTGCTTTAATTTTTTACGGCAAACGCTTTTTGGGAGCAGCTTTATGGGCTCGTAAAATCTGATGGGGCCTAAAGGGGTTAACAGCAAGTTGAGAGCTAATTGAGTCGCTCTGAAAACGGGAAATAAAATAAATCCATCAACGAAGTCTTTATTAGTTGGACTTCTTTAATGAAATAAGCCGGTGAATTTTTAGAAGCTATATACATATATACATATACCTGGGTGATCAATATGACACAAAACTTTAAATTTAAAGTACAAAATACCTCTTAAAACCCCTGTAATGCTCTTAGAACACACCTAGTTTCTAAATAAAACAAAACTCCCCAAAACCCCCAAGAACCTCCCCAGTTTTTGAATACAAAATTCTAAACTGCGCACTGAGAGACTTCTCTGCAGCATAAAAAAAAATGGAATTACAAGAACTCAAACAGACAGCGATATTAAACATTTTTGCACTAAAAAGTGGGCAATTTAAGTCGGGAAAGGGCACTATCTCTCGCGACCTCTCTCTTTCCCACACACACGTTGCAAGAGCGAGAGCGAGCGAGAAAGAGAGAGAGAGAGCCGCAGTGGCAGACAGAATTACACACATTGTAATAAATAAGGAAGGTCGTTGCCATAGCAGCAGCCGCCGTTGGCGTCGTTTTTTTCCCCACTTATTGTTGTTGCTGCGGGAGAGCTCTCTCACTCTCTTTCTCTCTCTTTTGGGGCTCATTCAGCGGCTGCTGATAACGAATCAGCTGTTTACTTATTTGGGGAGGTGTGTCCGGCCGTGTATGTGTAGGTGAGTGACGACTGTCTGGCTGCCTCTCTATTTTACTATATTTTTTTGTTTATTTTTTTCCAAGCATATGTTTGTTGCAGTAGTTGTTGTTTTTGCTATTGCTTTCGGTATATTTAACTATTCCTGTTTTATCGTTTTCCATTGTATATCAATGTAGTTTACAACTTTCATAATCGATACCTACATATAACTCAAGAAGAGAATACAAAGTAATAAAGAAGCATTAAAGCAGTAGTTTACCGTTACCGAAATATGTGAAGTAAATAAATGGAGAATTTATCTCGATTCACTATTATTCACATATCAAGATACCATCGAACTTCCCTGGCTGCCTCTTTCATTGCTGGTCTCATAATGTTGTTTCTTCTGTGATGATGCTTTTGAGTTGTTGTCATTGCACTTAGTATTGCTGCTGATTTTGGGAGTGTTTTCTCTGTTAATACTGCCGCTTTAATTTACGCTACATTTTTGGTATTGCTCTTGGATTTTAAGTCGCTGGTTTTGCTACTTTTTTGATATTGCTGCTAAATTGTTGCACTTGTGTCTTCCCCTTTGTGTTTATTAGTGCTCCTGTGTGTGCTGCTTTACCTTTTTTTTACTGCTTGCTTGTGGGCCTGATGTTGCTGCCGTGATGTTGCTGCTTGCGTGCTTAATGACGAGTCGGCCGCATTACAGTTTGATTACGGGGCCGCCAATTTGGAAATTACCAAACTGCTCGAATTAGAGGAGCGACTGAGCCCATGGCTCGATCGAACGGCATAAGCAGGAGAACAAAAGAAGGCAACAGGAAATTGGCCAAGAGTGGCACCGACAACAACAACAACGAAACAGCTAGTGATTGTCTGGAAAATTTTACGAAATTAGAAATTCTAGTCAGATAATGATCTATCCAAGTGAAGTTGTTTAAACTTCAGAATAAAAGTTCACATAATGGAAAATCAGTTATAATGTTACATCCTAAGTGCCTTAAAACCTATGATTGTATTATAAATCGTAGTCCAAGTGAAGAAATGTATTGTGTTTTAACCCTCTATAAAAGGGAAAACTGAAGAGGTGTATCATGCGATGAGAACTAAAACCTCAATTGATATTGGCTTTCAATTGTAAGACAAAGTATTATTATTCGTCGTTGATATTAGAAAAAACGAAACTGGACTTAAAATAGTATTCATAGTAGGACTGGACCTACGATTGAGTATCGCATTTCGGAAGGAGTGTAATATATAATTTTGTACAATTTCCATTTAAATACAGTTCTATGATAACATTCGGCTCTACTCGTTTTCTCCCCAGGGTCATTCTTCTGATCTGCAGTTTTTGGGATTTCTGGCAGTCACTCATTAAATCGGTCCAGCCCACATTTCCTGTTCCTCTAATCTCTGTCATCGTCTCTTTTTATGTTCTCCTTTGTGTTATCGCTCTCCTTCTCGGCTTCATTCGCTCCTTTTCTTCCCTTCTGGCATATCGAATTCATAACTCAACTGCAACTGCAACTGCCTTTCTCTTGTTTAAGTCACAGTCCGACCGTCCGCCCGTCCGCCTAACCGCCTGTCCGCCTGGTACAGTGAAGCCCGGCGGAAACCTGTTTGCATTATTAAGTAACCGCTATGCCCGAGGAGGGCCGAGGAGGGTGTCCGAGTTCGACCGGCTGCGCTGCATGGCTTCTTCCCAAGAAGATTTTTGTTCTGCTGCCGCCGCTTCTATTGCCCGATGTCTGCACGAAACTTTCGTTTTTTATACCCGGTACGCGATGGGGGTTTGAGGTACATCTATTGTGTGTATTTTTAAAAACATATTTTTTCTAGAAAATCCATTCACATTAAACCGCTCAAGTATTTCTGCACCACCATTTCACATAAATATCCAATACACATTGTCACATTTTCAAAACAAAACATGTTAAATGTGTGTTCAACAACAAAGACTATATTAAATTTTAATTTTTAATAAAACTATTTCATATATTGATTAACCAAAACATGTAAATAGTGAACAAAATTGTTATTAATTATTATAGTCTTGAACATTAGATTACAATTGCAGTCATAGGCTAAGAAATTAATAGAATTTAAATTGTAGATCGCTCAAAAATATTAAATTTATAATCTAATCTAATCTATTTTAATCTTTTAATTTTTAGCGAAACTATTTATTGATTAACCAATAAATTAAAATAGTCTAGAAATTTAATATTAATAAAATCGAACCAATCCGAATTTTAACCATTTTGTACGAGCTTATATAGGGTATCACATGATCGAGCGGAGCCATCTGGCTTGTCTTTTTCGTGTGTCCCCTCTTGTACTGTTGCAGTTGGCCTGTCTGTTTGTCTGGCCCGTTTGTAATTCGAAATAAAAACAGGAAAATTTACTTTACAATCTGTGCTAAAATCGTAAATTTTTAGCCCGGCTCAGGGGAGCGGCTGTTCCACGTCCAGTTTCGCAGGTAGGAGAACGAGGAACGAGTAACGAGGTACGAGGTACGGCAAGGTAAAGGTAAGCTAATCCGCTTGGGCATGACAACGATGACTATTTGTTCTGGGCTCGGATCTCCTGCCTCCCCTCCCCTTCCCTCCCCTACCCTCCCGCTGTACATTCTGCTTGCGGTTCCACGTATTCTCGTACTCTCGAATTCTCTGGCCGTGCCTAGTTGTTATCTTTTCTTATTTAATTTTTGGCTGCCATTGCCGGAGTTGCTGTGCTGTCGCCGTCTAATCTCCCCGGCAATATCATCACGAACGCTGGATACCCGGCTCACCAGCTCACCAGCTCTCCAGCTAACCAGCTAACCATCTCCTCAGCTTCCCGGTGCGAGAGCCTGGCCGTTGATTGATGCGTTTCCCATTCGGAATTTATGCCATGGACCATTTTGGGCAAGCGCTAAGCAATTCATTTTTTTTCCAGCCGAGCGGTCCTTGCATCCCCTTTTGTCCTCCATGCGGTGTCCACCACTTTGTGCTGCTAATTCAGCCACTTTCCCGTCAAAACTTGCTTCATATCTTTATGATACTTAAATAAAACAAAACTATAAGCGACCCCTTACTTATATTCCTATGCTGATAAACTAAATCGGAAAAAGGGGTTTTGTTGTTCAAAATAACAAAATTCAATTTTCGTAATGAACTTTGATTACTGTATGAAATCAAAGAAAATATCACCCATTGCCTAAATATAAACGGTTAAGAGAAAATAAAGTTGAATATTTGTAAAAGTATGTGAAAAAAAATATTTGAAAATTGATTTACTAAACTTTGATTTACAAGACTTTATTGAAAGAATCGGGTAACAACTTTCTCAAACTAATTTAGAGGATACATTTTTAACACCGTATTTAAAAGACATTTTGCTAATATATAGAGGTAGTTGCAATAAATAATAATGATAATTTAGTTAAATAATTCGTCAGCATTAACTTAATTTAAAGAATACATTTTTGATACATTATTAAAGAAGGTATTTTGCTAATATAAAGGGGTTGCTATGATAATGAATATTTTCTAGAAACAAAATAGACACTCATAACAACAGTATGAAATTATTTATAAACATTTTTTTATTATTTATTTATTTATTTAATTATTTACTATTCTTATTAGTTAACAAGATTTAATAACAAAGGCGTTATAGCTAGATATTTACAGCCAACAACTCTTCTCCGTTGCCTAATTTATAGCAGATTTTCCTAAAACACAAGGGGCATCACTGATCGCATCCCCTCCAGCTGCAATCAGCGGCTTGATCGAAGCGTGCGATACTCTGCCAGGAACAACAGCAACCACAGCGGCAGCAGCAACATCTACCGCAGCAACAGATACAACAGCAACATCAGGAGTGTCTTGTGTTGCGGGCACGTTGCCCATGGACTTCAGATGGC